TGAACGCAAACTGTCGTAGTTTAATTAAAGGTGCAAACCCTTCGCTGCACGTCAGCTGCACCTTCAGCAAACCTCCTAATGCTGTGTTCACACCAGACGCAGAACGCGTGGATAAATCGCGATGTTCGCGCGAAAATTGCTGCGTGAACATTTGAGGTTACTCGCTTCATTCGCGTGTCAAACCCCGCTTCATTCGCGCGTCAAACCCCGCTTCATTCACGCGTCAAACCCCGCTTCATTCGCGCGTCAAACCCCGCTTCATTCACGCGTCAAACCCCGCTTCATTCGCGCGTCAAACCCCGCTTCATTCGCGCGTCAAACCCCGCTTCATTCGCGCGTCAAACCCCGCTTCATTCGCGCGTCAAACCCCGCTTCATTCGCGCGTCAAATCCGCTTCATTCGCATGTCAAATTTACTTCAGAACAGACGCGGATTCGCATGATGGGCAGGGCTTCTGTCTGCCCGGTGACTGTGGCTTCGTTGCTAAATGGCTAACATAGATTTTATGAAGAAAATAACAGTGTTTATGTACTTTATGAAGGCTGAAAAACAGCGTTGATACGTTTAGGACCGTGTCTGAGTCCACTACATGCTTTCTGAGGTGCATCCAGCTCTGTGAGCTCATAAACTCTTCCAGAAACTGAACCTGGATCACGGAGGCTTTCAACAGTGCTTCTGACTGAGCCAAGCCCAGTTTGATGACTTGTTGTCGATGTCGCCTGGAGGATTTTCCCTGGGACACCATCAACAGGTTCTACGTCACAATCACGCCCCCACAAGAGCTAGCTTCTGATTGGTTAACGTGGCGCGAATGTCCGCTGAAGTTCAAATTTTCGAAGAGATTCGCGCGAAACGCTGGTTAAGCGCGTCAAACGCGCAAAACGCTCGATTCACCTCGCACGTATTGCGCTATTCGCACCGCGCCATTTGCGCAATTCGCGTCATTCGCTTCGCGCCATTCGCGTGTATCGCGCCGCAGGATGTCTATTTGCGCGTTTGCATTGACTTAACATGTAAATCACTCGCGCTTGACGCGCGTGCCGCGTCTGGTGTGAACGCAGCATAATGCCTGCAGCACAAGGACTTTTATGATACTTTATGAGCGTCAAAAGTTGTGGACCTGTTCGACAACATATTTGACTGGGTCCCAAACGACTAAAAATACAAAACAATATAACTAAAGCAGTCTTCACTGTGCTGAGTGAGAGCGCTTCTGAACAGTCATCGATGAAGTAAGCATGCTCGGGCTGGTAGGTAAAAATGCAATGTGAGTGCAGGATGAGAAGGAGAGGGGAGGGGGGAGTACGCCCTAATACATTTTATATAATAGAGTTCATTCATTCATTAATTTTCTTTTCGGCTTAGTACCTTTGTTAATCATGGGTCACCACAGCAGAATGAACTGCAAACGTATGCAGCACATGTTTTGACAATTAAATTTGAATTAAAAATTGTATAATATTTATCAACATAATGTATTGAATTTGATTTATTTTTACTTTTTTATTTATTTATTAACTAAATTATTGTAATAAGAATTGTAGACTTTTTAGAACTGTAGAATAATCTTGTCTCATCCTGCTGTTCACATGGTATTAGCAGTAACTCACTACATTGTTGGGTTCAGTCTAGTACATTAAAGTGAATCACACTCCTCATCTACAGTCTATTTTGGGTCTAATGTGGTGTCAGTAGACTATAATCTGTTCACCCTCAGTTTAACATGGCCAGTTGTGTCGTGTTAACGCACAGACGGAACAATTTCCACAAGTGGACACTCAGTGCAGTTAACCAAGAAGACAAAATTCCCATCCCTTTTATCAAATAATGTGAGCGGCTACATATTTTTCTCATGTAGTTTGAAGTGTTCCCTTTGGATTTGATGGGTGACATTTTAAAAAAAACCTTACACAATGGTTCATCATTTTGAAACTTCATCCTTTGCAGTTTTATTGAAATCCCCAGACCCCAGAGGAATCATGGATAACATTTCCCATGTTCTTACTTCTTGGGAAAGCAATTAATCTACTGTAAACACAAGCTCATTTTTCCATGTTATTCCTTGTTGGGTATAAATGTCATTTGCTATTAGAATATTATTAAAGGGCACATATTGTGCCTGTTTTAATAAGATGTAAAACAAAATTCTGATGTAATCAGTATGTGTCTGGGAGGTTTCTGCTCAAATACCCAACAGATCATTTATCATAGCTTGTCAGATGTGCCTCTATTTAGGTGTGTGCAAAAAAAAAAAAAAAAAAACAGGTTTTGTGTTTGTATCTTTAAATGCAAATGAGCTGCTGCTTTCCAGAAGAGGGTGGAACCTTTACAGTATTCTCTGGCACTCCAGAAACAACAAAACAAGTGAATGTCCCGCAGATGAAATGTCAGAAATTACATGTAAATTAAAGCCTTACGTGTTCAAACCAGATTCAGACAATGATGGAGAGGAAGAGTTTACAAATTCTAGACTGAATCAGGCCTTTTCTGAACAGATGTATGGATGCAGTCCTCCAAGCTCATGGGAGTCATACACAATATTCATTCTGTTTCCACTGCACCAAGACTTTATATTCTTTACTGTACATTATTTCTGTTCATTGACAAGAGTTTTGCCTAATCAACGTCAGACCTTATTGTCCTAACTAAATCATTAAAAATCAAGGCATGATCATATTTAATTTTGGTGAAACAAGCATAATCTAGAGCCATTTGCCTTTCATATAGGCTAATTCTGATACAAAATGATTAACTAGAAGTCACGTTAGTATTTGTTGTTCCTAAAACTTGGATAGGATCTTGGATCTTTGGAACATTTACCTTGAAAAATGAAATTCAACCACAACGTTCTCAGTAGCCGGATTTCGAAAGTCTATGGAGATTTTTATCTTCATCAGTGTTCATTAGTTCATTAGCGAGCTGACAACAGAATAAATGTAAAGTTAGATTTCCTACTCCAGATTTGATAAATTTTCAGTTGCTAAAGCGAGAAATGTAAATGTACAACTGATGCTTTTGTGCTGTGGGTGAAAACATGTAGAATATGGGCCAGAAATATATAATAAGAGCCCCTTCTTATGTAGAAGAGCGAAATCTGCGCACGATACACATTTTTCTTCATATAATGCTTATCAAAACAAAGCTTCTGGCTTTTCTTTTTCATGTTTTCTAAAAAAAAAATCCACCAGAGACCCAATATATCACTTAAATCTCTTTCATGATGTATCTTTTAAGACATTATTATTTTATTTTGCAGTTTACTTCAGGTTGGATTATATGGCTTGATAGACTGGACATTTCAAATGCAGTAATACAGAAACCCCTTGTGTTCCTCAGATTGGGAGAGGTGGGATAAGTGGAGCTCCAGGTGTCTGTGTCCTGTTCGCAGGAGAGGTGAATGGGTTGACCGTGATGGATCCGTCCTGCCGCCAATCCTGTCCTACACCAGTGAGGAGGAACTAAGAGAACTGGAGAGACAAAAGCTTAGAGTAGAGCAACTTCAGCAGGCCCTTCATCTACAGCAGGTTTCAGTAACATCCATTGTTTTATGCACATTTTGGAATAGTTTGTCTATCATTCCTTTGCATAGACTTAACACTAACATAGACTTAAATCTGCACCATTATATTCAAGAAATACATTTTTCCCCTACATTTGGACTAAGCAAGGTGTCTTAAGCAACTAGTTTAAAAAGCTTCATAGATATATACACTAGATGTCGCCTGGCCTATTGCTGTCTATTGGATAGAATGCGTCAATAGCGCCGCCATCTTGCTACAGGGTAGTGCTCCTTTGAAATGAATGCGGGACCAAGGTACAGTGGAGGACTGTGGCCATCCAAAGCCAGAGATATACACATATATCTGTGATCGGGAGTTTTCCTGGATGTTAGTATGTAATTTTTTTTTCTAATTACAAAAATTATAATTTTACATTACTTTTCTACATTGATGGATCAGTGACCGCACGGGCATTCCTGACAAAAAGCTTGTGTTTGTGTGTACAGAAATGTACTATTCTCCCTCCCTGTTAAATTTAATCTAATCATGTCCTGAAACACAGCTCCTCTTCTGCTTTCACTTCTCATACTGATGGAGAGAGCGATTCGTTTGTGAATGAATCCCCCGAACGACTCTTTCACTAACGTTAGCCGACAATAATACAAGTTTCTGGCAGCGCAGCATCTCGTTGTCATATTTCTTTTGCATTGTTTGCTGATTTTATTCAACAAAACTAGCATAAGCCGAGTGTTTAGTGCGAGTTGGAGCTGCTTTGCCGTATGGTGAATGCAGTAAGTGACTGTTATCCTCAAGAACGTTACCTGATTAGCACAAAAGTTCAGAACATACAAAAACAGAAAAAAACATAATATTACCTATGAAATGTTCTGCCTTTGTGCTTTGTTTTCTTTGTTTGCTCGTTACTACACCCGTAGACAGCGCTAAAGTCCCGCATCTTCACGTAATAACACTGTCTTGACTAGTGCGGTTGAATGACATTTGTCCTGGGAGCACTGTACCAATATGGCGGCGCTAGTTACGCATGCTGAGGGTCCGTATGCGATATCTAGTTTATATATCTATGAAAAAGCTTAACTAGCAATTAGCTTTGGTTCCATCCATCATTTTTATTTTTTTTTATTCCAACATGCATTTTAAAAACATGTGCTCAATTGAGTCGGATCATTTGTTTTGTTTATCCATCAAATATATATATTTTTTATTTTACACAGTTTTTATTGGTATTTAACTAGGCCATACGTGGAAGTACATAATACAGAACAAGAAAAATTACAGACTGTTAAAAACTAACATATAATTAAAAGCAAACATATATTTTGAAAAAGAGAAAAAAATCAACAATTGAAAATAATAATAAAAAAAGCTAGGTTATAAAAAAAAAAGTAAATAAGAGTAAAAAAGATCCCTTCAAGGAGTCAATATTCCCTCTTTCCAGTAGTTTACTGTGTAATTGAGCTGATATTAAGGTAAGCCGCTAGTGTAGTCTAAAACTTGTTGCCAGGTCTTGTAAAAGGATTTTATGCAGCTTTTTATTTCAAGATTTCTCAGATCAACAGATTTCTCGTGTTTCCATCTCAAACATATATTTAAAAAATATCTGAGCAGAATACATTTGTAAAGTTATCTTTCATAATTGTCTAGCATGACAATGTTGCGTGACACTAACAGTGAATGCACACACAATTTAAAACAGGAACACATTTTTCACAACTTCTGGAAGCAAAAGCTTAAATAGTTTTGAGGAGATTGTCCTGAGGTTTTCTGGGATGTGATTCTTCTATATAAATACGGATTTTTATATTTTCTAAGCTCAATGGGGTGACCTCTGCAATTTGTCTGTGCTTTTTTTTTTCAACTCTCACCTTGCATTTGTTATTATCCTCAGCAAGTAATCTGTTCTTATGTCTTAATTTATTAAATGTAATACCTGAAAGTGTCTTAAGTTTAGATTATATTACAAATTTATAAAAAAGTTTATTTAGAATTAATTTAAACTATCAAAAAGCAGGGATGGTCAATGCAGTGGCGCAGTAGGTAGTGCTTTCGCCTCACAGCAAGAAGGTCGCTGATTCGAACCTCGGCTCAGTTGGCGTTTCTGTGTTGAGTTTGCATGTTCAACCTGCGTTTGCGTGGGTTTCCTCTGGGTGCTCCAGTTTCTCTCACAGTCCAAAGACATGCGATACAGGTGAATTGGGTAGTGTATGAGTGTGAATAAGTGTGTGTGTGTGTGTGTGTGTGTGTATGTGGATGTTTCCCAGAGATGGGTTGCGGCTGGAAGGGCATCCACTGCATAAAAAAGTGCTGGATAAGTTGGCGGTTCATTCCGCTGTGGCGACCTCGGATTAATAAAGGGACTAAGCCGAAAAGAAAATGAATGAACGAATGAATGAATGAATGAATGAATGAATGAATGAAAAAGCAGGGACTAAGCCGAAGGAAAGTGAAAGTAGTAAACTCTTAGCAATGTAGCCTATCTTTTCAGGGGAAATGTTAAAGTATTTTAGGCTGCTCATTTCAACTGGACTTAGTATTTTTTCAGTTCGGTATGTCGGCTAATTAGTAGCTTATTAATCACGTGGAATAAAGAGTCTACTAAGTTACAAGAAAAATTATATTCTGTGGACACAAGAGAACTAACCGAGTTAGTGGCGCCATCTAGTGGTGGTGTATGAATCTGTCCTGACATAGAAGTATAAGTATAAACCTATTAAATATTAGTTAGGTGACTATTAAACTGCTAAACATGATAAAATAAAAAAAGTAACTTCAATTTTGTGGCCAATATCAAATATTCATATAAAGAATATTAGTTATTATATTTTTAGAATATAAAAATTCTAAAAATATATTATTATTATTATTATTTAAATTATTATTATTTAAAAAAACATATATATATATATATATATATATATATATATATATATATATATATATATTTGCTTTCTTTTTCTATTGAATTTATATTTCTCCAAAATGTAGATTCTTGCCGTTATTATTTTTGTTTTATATATATATATAGACACACACACACACACACATATATATATAGGCACGCGCCTCCCACCAGTGCTGATATACAGCCATATCGCACCGCTGTGAGTTTATTTAGATTATATTCAGCAGCAAATCAGCACATTATAATGATTTATAAAGCATCATATGACACTAAATATTAGAGTAGTGGCTCCTTTTTTAAAAATCAATATAAAATGATATTTAACATTTTAAAAATATTGCAATTTGTTTTACTCATTTTCTGTGTATTAAAGGGGACCTATTATGCAAAAAATGACTTTTATAAGGGGTTTAAACAGTTGTTTGGTAACAGTCTGTGAATATAACCAACTCTAATGGTGAAGGTTAAATTGTATTTTTTATAATCCCACTTGATAAAAACAGTCTGCAGAAACACCTTGATTGACATTCTTCCTTTGGTGTCATTAGAGGGAGAAAAGCCCCGCCCACTAGTAACAATCTCTCCCTCATTAGCATAGGGTGTTAGTCTTGTTTTTGAATCTGCCACTATGCAGACACATAGGCATTTATAGCTCCGCCCTCTTATGAAAAAGAGCACAATCTCATTTGTATTTAAAGCCACAGTCATCAAAGTGCCACAACTAGGACCAAAGCCTAAAAGTGGGCAGTTTCAAACAGCTATAAAACCTTATTTGTGTTGTATATTAAGCTGAATTTTCTCATATACACTGTAGGGACATCAGGGACTTACTTTACATCTTGTAAAAAGGGGCATAATAGATCCCCTTTAATAAATTCTGCATTGTTTTCTGTTTACAGGCAATGTCCGAAAGCCTTGCGGGTTTCTGGGACTGCCCTCCTGGTGGAGAACGGTCCAGCGCTGTAGCTTTGCGTGGTCTGTACTCTCTTCTGGCGGAGGGAGGCGTTCAGTTCCCATCGCTGGTTTTGGATTCAGAGTGAGACTTACTCGAAAAACAAGACTGTATTTCATGGTTGATCCGCTGCATTCCAAGAAGCACAGCAGGGAGGTATATCTACAAGCTGACACCAAACCATCTCCAAAACTCCAAACATGTTCTCTGTGCGCGTTTGTCTTTTAATGGGTCACACGAGCGACTGCAGCTGCTGTTCACAAACTCGAATAAAGCTTCCAGCTGACGTCTCTCAGGATCCGTGAGTGAGGATTTCATTTCGTTTCGTGTCACACTCCTCCATCCAGCAAGCATTATCCTCTATTACTGCCTTTATGTGGCTTTCTGATGAGCTCTTCCTGTATGAATTCATTACTCAGCCTGCCAAACCACTGGCGTCTTTTGAATACTAATGACATCCCTGCTTAAACAACGGCAACAAAAACATCACAGACTTCTAATTATTTTAAAGTCCGCGTGAAATGAAATTTGAAATGTCAGTTTTGCTAGCTTACGTTGTTATTCTTACACTGTATCCTAACATGACACGATGCAAGATTCTAGCGACAAGCGATTTGTTTGTTTGCACCAAAAGCAACGACACACGACAGAAGCATTTAAATATCAGCCACTGCACAAAAGGGTGAATGTTTTTAATCTAATTAATACATATTAAATAATGATAATAATACAAATTTTGTATTTGTTTTGGCGTCACGGTGGCGCAATGGGTAACACGATTGCCTAATGCCTACTTTAGACTGCATGATTTTAGCCCCGATTTTGACTCGCCGACAAGTTTTGAGAAATCGCGACAAATTTCTGAAATCACAGGCAATTCGGTGCTCGTGCATGTGAGTGATAATCACACAGTTTGAACTATCAAAGACACGATCTGAGAATCGCCGATGAGTCGCCGATGCCTGTGAGAAATTTGGCGTGCTAAATATCTGGAACTTTCGGCGATTCAAATCATGCCGTGTGAAATGAGTTTTGACTGAATATAACATCAGCGATCGCCTACAGCCAATGAGAGAGCGGCATTCACTTGTGTGTGTACCTGCAGGCCAGCGGGAGGTTGGGGGAGAAGTTAAAAGCGCTCATTTTCAGTTTATTTGGACCCAAGAAATGGAGGAAAAAACTAGTGTGTTTGACGTTTCATACAGAAAGTAAAAAAAGAAAGTTGAGGAGACAGTGCTAATTCCATTCAAACCCAGGTTAGCAAATATGTACATTTTCTACCCCATTACAGGCTTCTTACTTGTTATATAGTTAATAACAAAAGATATACCTCATGTTTTTGGCTGTGGGATGTAGTTTGGACAATGTTGTCGGTGATTCTTCCTATTGTAAAGTCATGCAATGTGAAAGCCCCTTTTGCCGATCCATCTTGCAGTGTAAACAAAGCAGCGACAAAACGCTAGCCCAGATAGTCATGCAGTGTGAAAACATCAGTGACACGACTACTTTGAAAATCATGCAGTCTGAACTCAGCGTAACAGCAAGAGGGTCACCGGTTCGAGCCCCGGCTGGTTCAGTTGGCATTTCTGTGTGGAGTTTACATGTTCTCCCCATGTTTGCATGGGTTTAATAAGCTAAATTGGCCATAGTGTATGTGTGTGAATGCAAGTGTGTATGGGTGTTTCCCGGTGTTGGGTTGCAGCCGGAAGGGCATCCACTACGTAAAACATATGCAGGATAAGTCGGTGTAAAACATATGCTGGATAAGTTGCTGTAAAACATATGCTGGATAAGTTCATTCCGCTGTGGCAAATTCTCAGTCAACCTGAGAATTTCCATAGCAATTGTAAATTAATTTCCTTAACCACGCCACTCTTATTGTTAGTTTGCAATGAGTTTCCAATGAAAGAATGATGCGCAAAAGAAAGCCCCACTTTCTGCTCAATATTCAGTTTCAGTTGGAAGTACATCAACATACTGAAATAAAAGTCAAAGCAACTTTCGGGTCATGTGGACTTTACGTTATACACTCACTGGCCACTTTATTAGGTACACCTGTCCAACTACTCTTTAATGCAAATTTCTAATCAGCCAATCACATGGCAGCAACTCTGGCAGAATGGAGGAGAAAGACGATTTAAGTGACTCTGAACGTGGCATGGTTGTTGGTGCTATTCGCACAGGCTCACCAAAATTGGACATTAGAAGTGTGGAAAAACATTGCCTGGTCTAATGAGTCTCGATTTTCTGCGCTATTCGGATGGTAGGGTCAGAATTTGGTGTCAACAACATGAAAGCATGGATCCATCTTGCCCTGAATCAACGGTTCAGACTGGTGGTGGTGGTGTAATGGTGGGGGGGGGGGGGGGGTATATTCTTGGCACTATTTGGGTCCATTACCACCAATTGAGCATGGTGTCAATGCCACAGCCTACCTGAGTATTGTTGCTGACCATGTCCATCTCTTTATGACTACAGTGTACCCATCTTCTGATGGCTACTTCCAGCTAGATAACGCGCCGATCATTAATCATCTCAGACTGGTTTCTTAAACATGACAATGAGTTAACTGTACACAAATGGCCTCCACAGTCACCAGAACTCAATCCAATAGAGCACCTTTGGGATGTGGTGGAACAGGAGATTCACATCATGGATGAGCAGCCGACAAATCTGCAGCAACTGCATGATGCTATCATGTCAGCATGGACCAAAATCTCTAAATAATTGTTGCAGTACCTACTTATTTCTAGTAAGGTGTACCTAATAAAGTGGCCTGTGAGTGTAGGTTATAATGGAAATCATATTGGGTTTAATGGATTAGTCTCGTGAGACTCTAATGATTATGTATTGCCTTCTGATGGTGGCGTGCTAGAACTAATTCATCTTAATGAAATATGTACAAAACATTGGAATCAATAACTGATTTTAAATGGATAGATCACAACTAAAAATGTAATTCTGTCATCATTTACTCACACTAAGATTGTCCCAAAGCAAAATAAATGAGCAATTTTTGTTTTGCTGAACACAAAGGATGATATTAGGACAAACATCAGTAGTCAAACAGATCTCGTCACCCATTTATTGCCATAGTTGTAAAAATGAAATACTATTGGAGTAAATGGGAAGCGAGATCTGTTTGCATACTGGTCCTCCTATGTGATCACGTACATTTATATGGCTTTGAAAATGCCTGAGAGCGAGTAAATTGTGACTGAATTGTAATTTTGTGGTGAACTGCTTCTTTAATGGTTAATGTTTGGTGAATTTGAATAGTTTTGATGGTGCCTTTAGATTATTCTGTGATGATTTTTATTGTGTGTTTTTTTTCTCAACAGTGATGTGTTGCAAGGCCTGTGGTGTTGTGTTTATGCCAGCAGAGGGTGATGTGCTCTTAATGCTGTCCTAAATGTTTTTATGACGTCCATTTAGCACAAAAAAAAGACGTTCTAACGTCATTTGTTAAAACAAACAGCGAAATATTACTTATATTGGATGTCTTAATTTATAAGAACCTCATCGTATGATTAAAATGATGTGTTATTTGATTAAAGCAAAGTTTAAATGTTTTTTATTTTTATTTTTTTAAGAGCTATTGACGCAGTTCCTGTGTTTGGATTTTAGTGTAAACAGTCGAGGTATGCGGCGTATAAAGTTTGAGTAGGATTTACATTCAATCCAACACAAGAAACACACTGAGTTAAAGGGACAGTTCACCCAAAAACTGAACATTTCCTTATCACTTACTCACATTTAAGAGGTTCTAAACGTTTATAAATTTCTTTTATGAACACAAAGGAAGATATACTAAAGAATATTGGGAAAAGCAGCCATTTACATCCATAGTATTTTTTTTTTCTTACTACCCACATAGCAAAATTTCTCTGGCCCAGCTCTGGCCCACACAATCAGGTTTTGCTTGGCCCACATGCCGCAGTGAATTACGGTACATGACTGGACCAAATCTGGCTTCCAGACAAGGGCCAAACACAGACCATATCTGGGCCAAGTCTCAGCCAAGTTAATAACTCATAACTGGGCCTGAACTGGGCCAGATAGGTTGGTGTGTCACGATTGCAATGAAATTGATAAACCCATGGAGTGATGCGCTTTAGGCACACTATGGGCACGCTTTTTCTCAAAGTGACCTGATTGGTAGAATTTTTTTTCTTTACTCAAAAATGATTTTAGTGTATTTTAAATGTGGGTCAAGACTGGCCAAACTCACATGGCCCACTTATCAAATTTTTAAATCTGGGCCAAATACTACGTTTTTCATCTGGCCCAAATCTTGTGTGCCGCCTTAAAAACTGTGCCACCTCTGCCAAACCCGGGCCATGTTTGGCCCACATGCTGTATGCCAGTGCCGGATGAATGCCTGCTGTGCCAGCTTTTTGCCAAATCTGGGCCAGAATTCTTTGCTACTAGGGTATTGATGTCAATTACTGCTTATTTCCAACACTCTTTAATACAGCGGTTCTCAATCCTGGTCCTCACACTGCTTACAGACTCTTCATATTAAACTTAGAGAGAAGTTAGGGAGAAGAACCACCAACTTATCCAGCATATTTTTACACAGCTGATGCTCTTCCAGTCACAACCATCCACACTCAAACACTACGGACAATTTAGCCTACCCAATTCACCTGTACCGCATGTCTTTGGACTGGGAAACTGGAGCACCCGGAAGAAACCCACGCGAATGCAGGGAGAACATGCAAACTCCACACAGAAACGCCAACTGAGCCAGCTGAGGCTCGAACCAGTGACCTTCTTGCTGTGAGGCGACAGCACTACATACTGCGCCACTGCGTGATATATGTACACTGTATATATATATATATATATATATATATATATATATATATATATA